GGGACTAAGGACAAAGTGGTGGTGCTGGAAATGCAGAGGTGGTGGTAGTGCTGCTGTACTTCCTGAAGAGCAGGAGCCTGGGACATGAGACATCTTCTCTTTGCATAGGGGTTGGTCTAGCTGAAGAAAATAGCAGTGTTCTGCTTAGGTGTGTGGTGCAGGAATTTGTATTTGGCTGTAGCTGAAATAGAGTGACAAGGTTAGCATGGAAGATACTGCTTCCCAATACCTGTCAGTGTAAAGAACATTTTAGGAGCTGGGACAAGAAGATGAGATCATATGTCATTTAAGTCTCTGAGGACCTCACAACTGTTTTTTTCCACATTTACGTTCTGCTCTTTCCATATCTATGCGATGTCGCTGAAATGGGGAATTACATCTACTCCCATTTTATTCATCACAAAATCCAGCTGCAGAGACTGATACCAAGGTTCTTAAAGTGACCCAGAAGCATACATCCCGCTGATATAAATGAGAAGGAAGCGTGAAAACTCTTTAAATCTTCACCTGAATGAATTACTGCAGACATAGTGAAAATCCACACAGATGGTGATATCATACAGCCTTTCACTACGGACCCAGTGCTTTGCCAAGTGGGCCACTACCAATTTGTAACTGCATTTCAGCAGGGCTCTGAAATTGTAGACATGTTAACTGTGATCAGAATGAAAAATTCTGAGTTGTCCAAGGAGCATTATAATGCCGAACCTCACCTTCTCGTCACCTTCTGACGGTAACTTTTTCAGAGGCCACCTATGGGATTCTGTGAAACCCTTAGGTGACTCGCTTCTAGCAGTCAGCAGCTGAAACCTCCAAAAGACTTGGCTCTCAAGGATGCCTTTCTTGTACTAGCGGAGACACGTATAATATTTGCCTCTCCTGAATTGCTGTATCGATACACTGCAGTCTACAGATTCTGACAACTTTTTACCCTTTCCCTCAGTTACTACCAGCATTGAGCATTAGATGCTTTGACTCAACAAGGCAGAATGTCTAAGGTTTTATGTCTTGATGCACAACTATGGCTTCACATCACACCAACAACTAGAAAGTACCTAACCGAGGGGCATTTCATTAGACACCAGGCTGTGCATTCAGGAGCTGAAGCAGCAGCAGCAGCTAGTCTCCAGAAGGAGTGAAGGCAGCTTCCCCTCCTATCTCTGGCACCTCAGGTAGGAGGAATTTGGATCATGAAACTCGGAAGAACATTTGACCTATGTGACATGCCTGCCACACATAACTTCTTTCATAACCGTGGTATTGCACTACCAGCATACGTGGACATCCATGCAGACACTGAGAAAATACATACATGATCCGTGCATTTTCTTTTTCTCCCAGGGAGAAGTGGACTGGCTGGGAGTGAAATTATTAATTGAGACTCATTACTCTTGATAGATGTTAGCAGAGTTCTTAATCACTCAAGATGCCCAGAATACTTATTACCTGACATCCTTTGACAACAATCTGCTTTCTTGCAGATTGCTTTCTTCTACATTTGCGGAATTACAGTAGGGAAACATGGAGTGAGCATTTGGGGCTTTAAAGGAAGAGTCACATTGCTGTCTGCCGTGACTTTCTTAATTTAAGGCGAAAGAAGAGTATGAGTCCCATAATCCTTTTTCCTAGAGTTAAATGGGCTGTGGACAGTAGAGCAGTGACTACACAGGAACAGCAAACAGCCAACTTCACAGAGGACAAGTCACAGGCTATAAGGAAAATCTTGCGGTATGCAGAATGCTGCAGATCCACTCTGAACTTTTCTTCTATGTATAGCATATCATACCTGGGCTGAACTCCACTTTTGGGACTGTCATTTGTTTGTGAAAGCAGGCAACGAAACTGTACATATCATTTCTCTGGGAATTATGAAGGAATGAGATCATGAAGCTCTGGTTTGTCCTACCCACTCACAGCAGTTCTGATGTCTCTCTTAACACAAAGGTCAAGGCCAAAAGCATTTTCTCCGCCCACAAGGAGGGACACGAGATTTCATTTCAATACAAAATTTAGAATATTTACTGATCACGAGGAAAATAACAGTCTGATTATGAGACAGGGATTACGAGCTTAATATCTATGCTCTTCCCCTGCATATGACGTATGAGGCAGTACTGCATTCTCAAGGGAAAGCCAGGAGGAAACTAAAGCCGATTTCCCTATGTATTATCATGCCAACGCTCAGCAACGAGTTTTTAAAAGGCAGCAGTCCCTGGGAGAGGAGGCCAGCACACAACTTACCTGTGCTATCAGAGTCTACTGCTTCATTCCTGAAGTCTTGCATATGTGACCGCTGTTCATCAGAAACACCATAAATGAAAATAGTTCAGCGTGTTCTTTTGCTGCCATATTTTCTGTGCTCTAGGGGGAGATCAGAAATGCTGAACTTTATTTATTTCTCAGGATCAGAAAGGAAAAGGTATCCTAGTATGGGACACAATATTCGAAGCCACGAGATGTATGAAATTGAGGGCTTTTTGCAACAGTATGACAAATTCTGTATTTAAACAGATCACTCCCACCACACAGAAGCAGAAATATAACATCTTTTGTTCAGAGATTTACCATGTTTAATTATTCATTTTTTTCAGTACCTTAACCATGTATTCAGTTAAATAAAGTCATAAACAAAAGTGTTCAAAGTGAAGCAATATTGTCTTTATGTTATTTTTAACTTGTGATCAGGTATCTGTGGGACATGGAAAACTAAAAATCAAACAAAGTACATGATCTTTGCATCTCTAATAACATTTAGCGCCAAATTCTGCTCTCAGGTGAATTTCTATAAAGCATTGTCCATAATGGCATTACAATACAAGGGTGTATTTCTGGGTTTAAAAAGTGCAAAAGATCAGGAGTTGTTCTCAGGTCTGCAAGGCTCAGCAGACACCAGATGGAGAGCTGACCCAGTGCAAGAGGTCACAGTGTCACTCAACTCCCATAAACTGATTTGATCTCACCAGGTGGTAATTTGGCTAAATTTGGGGTTTGACTTCAATTTGCCTGCTTCAACGAATGAGAGCACAATTTGGCTCCTTTCTCAGTGAAAAGGAAGCCAACCAAACATGACTTTCACCAGGCCTCAGTTTTTGGCCCCAGATTTCAACATACACTATTACAGCGACCAAAAGAACCACAGAAATTACTTATCATTTTACTGTTCCTTTACACATTTCACACAGTCCTGCAGCGAGCAGAATCACAGATGAACCTCAGAACATACAGAGAGCACAACTACTACACTGGACATGAAAAGGAAATTTTATTAAACATGTTTACATAACATGAGTTGGAAGTTCATTTAAAAGCACAGGGGAGTGTTAAGACAAGTGGTCAAAATAGAAAGATACTATCGAATTATACCTAGTTGGTTTTTGGCCACTAAGACAGAACAGGATCTAGTAGTAGTGCACCAATGCTTGAGTTCTTCCTGCTCAGCAGGTCGAGCAGTAACCAATCTGCGCCCTATGGAAAGATGGGCAGAATAATTCCCACGTGTTGAGTTATAATAAATAGTTCACTTGGTGCAGGCAGTATGTCTATGAATTAAAACCTAGTGTGTACACAGTTTCTACATGTGTTACAGCCCCACAGTAGGAATCTACACCAAAATAGTTATTAGAAGGAATTTGGTCCGTACTACATCACGTTTTCCATAGGGTAAAAAATAAAGTCCATCTATAGACATTCAGCACCAGACTCACAGACCTAGCCTGGCTAAAACCTGCAAAATGTCTATAAGAAAAATGGATGGCTTAGATTTCTTGGTTACTTCAGTATAGTAATTACGAGCAAACTGTACAAGTACATGCAACATACAAGCTGGCCTATGTGGAACTAACGTACATTATTAAATAACCTTTTTCATCTCTTTTTACAAAACGTGCATGCAGCTTTGAACAGTTCCAAGTCATGCTGCTCTATTTGTGTGATCACAAAATTGAATGGCCTGTAAAAGGAGGGGAAACATATCAATGCACCTGCAGGAATCTGCAGTTGTTTGCACATTTACAGAATATCACAAGGGATTTCAAGGCCAAGAACTCAAATGAATAAAAAGCAAATTGAAATTTGACCTTTTTTTTTTTTTCTCCAAAAAGTAAGATATCTTGCGTTAAAAAATCAAGCCTTGTGCTTGCATCAATCTCAAAGAAATGTAAACTAAAATTTGATAAAAACATTAGTAAGTGCAGAATATTTCAACTGGAATTTCCAGTGAAACATCAAACAACTCATACCATGCTCTATCCAGGGCAGACAGGTGTGTCTGAAGCGACACACATCAGAGAAGCCTGGGTACAGCTGAAAGTGTCATATGCTCAATCCATTCCTGGTCAACATTTTGGGAAGTCAAATATACATTTATACACAGAAACGTCAATATTTCCTCTCCATTTCTAGGAGGAAAATTGCATTACCAGTAACATATTCAATGTCAAAATTAAGACTAAAGCTGCTTTATACCAATCCCCAGCAGTAGTTGCAGAATTCTTCAAAATTCTTCCATGCAAAACATCATAAACATAAAAGTTATTATATATAATGCAAACATATCTGCTTTTTACAAAGAAAAAATGGCACTGTGATGATTATTTATTTTTAAGAATATAACTTAGATTGGTCATTTGTTCTGGGTTCCCACATGAGAGACTTGGAAGTACCAGAACCGAGAAACGATTTGAACTCACTGGAATCGTAACTGTGGCTGTTGAACACTTTAACGATGCTTACAGAGATATGCTTCAGCCCTTTTTTGTTTGGTTTAGAAAAAGAAAGGAAGGGTCTCTGTTCGCGTTGTGAGGACTTCTACAAAACTAGCAGAATCACATGGCAAAAATCTAGTGGAAGTGACAAGTACAGAAAAACTGCTGAAACACCAGGAAGGTAACACTGCTTGAGGGCTCTGTCAAAATGTGAAAAATACAACATTGTTAACAGAGTGAGAGCTTCCAGTTTGGGTCATCTTTGACTTAGGTCGAATCTAAAGGTGTCTCTCTCTCTTCTTTTTTTTTTTTTTTTTTGATCATTATAAGCATCGGTGATAGCCGCTAATAGATCGGCCCTATGTGATATACCTTTGTTCTGTCAATTTAAGCCATCTCTCCACAAACAGACATACGTTTGGATAACTACTACAAGCAAAAACAGAAGTGATTGTCTCTCTCCAACAGTGTTTTTTGATCATGTGAATATGTGGTTCCAATTGTTATCCTGGGTGATGTTTTTATTAGACAGCACCTGCTACTATGATCTAATGCAGGGAGGCCCAGTTGAACTTTCCAGAGACGACTGGGAAGCCCTGCGTGTCAGGGGAGTCAAGGTTGGATCCACTAGTGATGAAGGTGGAAATAATTTATACCAGCCTATTACCACACTGGACAGATCCAGTTCCTCCAGAAGGATCTGGGCAACTCCCATGAAGCATTTGTGGTCCATTCGGCCATAGTCTCCCCAAACTATTACCTGGAAGAACACAAAATACAGGTTCAGCATTGGTCCCAAACCCATGCTTGTACGTTCACTCCTGCTGTTATGTGTAACATAAGGAAAATGTTATTCTTAAGGGTGAATGATTGCTCCCTCTTGTGGGAAAACCTAATGGCAGGACAGGAGCGAGAGTCAACAAAAGAGAAATGTTTAATACAGCCAGACATTTTGCAGGTCTGAAACCACAAGCCACAAGGATGCGTTTGCTAGTATTTATAAAATTAAATGCTTAGTGAGTTGGAATGGGTTTACGCATATTGCTTAAACTTAAGTAAACATGCAAGTGCTTCTCCAAATGATAGCCTAAAATGGGATAAAGAAGCAACTGACCTGCAGGACTTTTCCCTGTGGGCTTTCATCAAAAACCAGTGTCTGTTGGTACAAAGGATCAAGGGTCTTCCGTGCAATTCTTGTCTTCTTCTTAGCTATGCATGCCCCATTTTCCAATAAATACACTTTGACATACGGAGCTGCAAACAAAACATCATGAGTTTTATGTTTAGACTTAAAATCTTCTACATTGCACATCTGAGCTGGAGGACAAATGCCTTAAAAGGCAGCTGAGTGGAAAGAAAATGACACACATTATCTTCACTGTATGATCTGAATACAATTATATTCATAAAATAAATGCCACAGCTCATAAGAAATCAATTTGATTTTTATAAACTTTGAATGTAATGATCCAAGACGTTACTAACAACAATTATGTTTTATGTCTGTCATTTTAAAAACATTTTCTTATGCCAGGACACTGGCAGTAGCATAACCTGCTGATTTCTTGAAGCGCTGTTGCATACAGAAGATCCTGGCATGTGGGTCTGTTAAGCTATTTGTTCAAAACATTTTCATCTGTTCTCCATCTCTTGTTTTGATGTGGGACAAACACAAAGGACTTCATCTACATCGACAAAACCTCTCTGAGAGATATGACTTGCCTAAGATAGCTAGAAATATTCCTGCAAATGTTCCTTCCAGAACAGATGTTGAGTTGGCGGGGGTTGGTCTCTTCTCCCCGGTAACTAGCGATAGGACAAGAGAAAACAGTCTCAAGTTGCGCCAGGGGAGGTTCAGATTGGATATTAGGAAGAACTTCTTCACTGTTAGAGTCGTTAAGCATTGGAACGGGCTCCCCAGGGAGGTGGTGGAGTCACCATCCCTGGAGGTGTTCAAAAAACGTTTAGATGTGGCGCTTCAAGACATGGTTTAGTGGGTTTAGCGGGCATGGTGGCATCAGGTATACGGTTGGACTTGATGATCTTTGAGGTCTCTTCCAACCATAATGATTCTATGAAAATCATTCCCTGAAAGGTGGCATGCCACTGGCAGATGCAAGGTGCTAAGAAGGAGACACTGCTAGCAAGCATATATCCACGCACACAGTCCTTGTTGAAAAGCAAACCAAACAAATGCAACTGTAATGACAGCTAATGAGGAGCTCAAAAAGTCTCCAATCCCCAGTTCATCAGCATATTTCATATTCTTGTTTTCTTCTCCTTTATTGTCTATTTTTTTCCTTACCTGGGGTAGATTTGGAGCCAGGTTTTTGTGTGAGGCCACGGGCTCTAATGACTTCTACTTCTAACTGGCCCTTTTTATCCACCATTCCAATCTGAATGTCACCTGAGAGGGATAAGAAAGAAGACCACATTTTAAAGAAGCAGTATGGCCCGGGACATAAGGTATAAGACTGAGAAACACAAAGACTAGATTGTTACTAATCTGCTGCATTAGTGTGCTTGTCACCTCTCCTCCTGATCCCTTTAATTTCTCCATCCTTAAACCAGGACTAAAAGATACATACTTAAGGAGCATGGTGCCCTCTCTTGGTATATGGTTTATACCAGAGCTCAGTATTTTTTGTCCATGGAGGCAGGCAAATTTACAGCAACACTGTGGTCTAACCATCAGAGCTTTAATTTTGCACCAGTGAATTATCTAGGGACTTCCTACGTAGGACTGTTGTCCCAGTGTGCCGGTCACTGACCCGCGCTGCCCGGACAGCGGTCCCACACTCGGAGAGCCTAAAACCCAAACTCAGGTTCAGAAATCCCCTCAGCTGGAAGCTTCCGCCTCCAATTTGAGATGCAAGAGCTGGCAGCGGGAAGGCTCCTCGCCTGATGAAGCAGGAAGGAGAACTGCTGGTAGAGGCTAACGTTGAAACCTTCTTCTGTAACTACGATTGCCTGACTGGATCCTCAGTGCAAGGCAGGGACACCAACCAGACGAGGCACACAGTCATAGTGCAGCTTCAGAGAACAATGCCCTGCCCCACAGGAGCTCAAAAAAGGTCTTTTTTTCTGCAAAAGTCTCCAACAAGTACAGGGGTAACAATTTTCCTGTTTTTATCAATATTCCACAACCATTTTTGATGACACAACATGTTAAAATAAGAAGCCACTTTCGCTACTAAATAGTCAAATTTGTTTCCCTGCCTGAGTTCTGACAATTGACATTTCCTGCAGAAAAAGGAAACTGCTTAATCCGAGACCAAGTACCGTTCTGATCTTTATCAATAAAATGCAAGGGAAGTCAGCTATGGGCTGATGCTCAAACCGTTATACCGCTATGGCTTCATATATCACAGAATCAGCTGGGTGGAAATTTAACAGGCCCCTTAGAATTAAAAAGGCACGGTATGACATGGGCAGCTACGTGATGCCTGTGCAAATAAATGAACTATACACATATCCTCGAAATACGTGAGTATGTATACATTTGACATGTAAACTCTGTCTATAAAAAAACCACGCTCACAAATAGATAGTCCTGAACTATAGAATTTGGGGTCCAGATTTAGTAAGACAGCATTTTGAAATTAACTGGGCACGAGCAGTGTTTATACCTTGGTACTTGAGGTATGACAGAGCAGCAGGGAAGACTCTTTTTTATCAATCAAACTTTGCTTGAATAAACAGAGCTCTGCGTTGCACTAAAAATAGTTCACAGGAAAATTCCAACAAGCCTTTTTAAGAGCACATCTCCGTATCGCATAGCCAAAATAAAACATCCGACAGGCAACCAGAAGGGGGGGCGGTAACACAAACATTTTCAAACCTTCACTAGTGAAAGAATAACTCATAGGAGGACTTCTGAAAAATCGTTAAACAGCATGACTGAGTGCTGTTTTGGGGGCCAAAACTTGAGCCTTTACTAAATAGAGCAGTTCTAAGATGTGAAAATAAACATATTAGTCAAGTAATCTGCAGAAAAATATTTAGTCAGAAAACAAGATTACAATAAAGAGACAGAAGAAATCTAGGTCCTCATATTCATACCGGTAGACCCACTTAGATTTTTATTGGGGAAATAATCTCACAAATACATTCTCTTTCAAAATAATAATAAAAATATGAATCTAACAAGTTCAGTGCTTATTAATGCATTAGTAGCAGTCACTTGGATATACACAGTAACCCTTGCCTTAGGGGGTACTCAAACCTTCTCAAGAAAGTTTCTGTCTCCTTCTGCTCATAAGTTGGGAGGGGAACACTTTCTTCAGCAATTTTTCTTTCTGTTTCTCTCTCCTTTTTCAGAAGGAGCTCAGAAGCCCTTTCTGAAGCTGATTCTCCCAAGACAGCTGTACTGAAGTATTTGCAATTTATAATTTCCAGCAGAAGTATGGTTAAAGTAGCAGATCAAGGACTCCTCACTTAGCATCTTAAAGCACGTCTAAGAATTGCTTATATAGGAGCAAAAAGAAAAATAAAAATCAAACCTTTCCAAAGATACTTACACAGCACTGTGTATAGGTTGCACACCTTATACACTCATACCCTATTTATAACCAAGATACAGCTAATGCTGCTATAGGGAAATACAGACTGGGCTGGAACCCAGAGAGGATCACAGATAGCCCCAGGCTGCTGCTGTAGAACAGGATTTTCTCTCTTTCATGACAAACACTGGCTTTATCAGCAACTGATTACTGGGCATTGCTAATGCCCGCAGAAGTTTCACATTCTGGGGTTGGATGAACTAAGCTTGGACAAGTGCAGAGTTTGGCCAGAAACTGTCTGGCACATCCAATATAATCTGTGGCAAGTAAATATAAACTCTGAACAGCTGAGATTTTGCAGTGAGCTACAACTGGAGAAGCCACAATAATTTTGAGTGGGAAGTAAAGTGCAACCCATCTTCAAATTGCAGATGAGATGAGCCGACACTTCAAATGGAGCAAATACTGTTTCTTACCCTATTTTGGATGGCAACATGCTAGGAATACCAGTGACTGTGTGTAGGACCTTCACGTTTACAGTGAAGGAAGCCACTTTGTAAAAGTCTTTTTGGTGCTGTAGTCTGGCAGTGTGTACATTAGTTAATTTAATGCATATTCATTTAACAGAAGACAACATATTATTCTTACCCATGGCAGGGGTTGCTAGTGTTTGTCGGCCTACTAACTGTGCAGGTCCAAGTCCATCGAGGAAATCACTGAACTGACTGTCAGCGCCCAGCCGTACTCCAGGAAATATTAAGCTGAAGCAAAATAAAAGTTAGTTAAGCATAAGAACAGGATTAATTTCTATTGTCCTACATTATTTACCTCAAAAGCACTACTGATACAAGGCAAGCAGCTCAGGATATGCAACCACAAATTGTTCTGCAGCATCAGGAACGAGCTGTCTCCCACAGACCCCAAAGAAGTGAAGCGAAATTCTGCACATGGACTCAAAGTAGTCCATAAAACAGGTCTTGCTCAGGAGTTCCCCAGGAGCAGTGAAGAGCCTGACAGGTGAATAAACTGAGTGACCTTGTATGAGAAAACATAAAAAGCCTCATGAAATTTAATAGCCTATCATTCTTCATTCTTGAATCCTTGATTTACTTTGTCGTACTGTTTTATAGCTATCCATACATCCAAACCCCATCCGCATCAGTTAGAACAAACAGGGAAAACAGATATATGCACTAAATTAATCTGACCGCTGCAGCTGTTTAATGAACCAGTAAACTGGCAGGTAGTACTAGTGTTGATTAGAGCAAAACCTGATGCCACTCCCTAGCCAAAATATTCTGGTAATCACATCTGGATGTACGGTTGGTACCCACCCCTCTTTCAGGACACAAACTGAACTGTAATGCATTGGCACCCAATAGAGGGAAACATTCAAGGTCAATTTTGACAACTTCCTTCGAGTTGTCAAGTTCCTTCAAGAGACTGGATGGGGCTCTGAGCAACCTGATTTGAGTTGAAGATGTCCCTGCTCACTGCAGGGGGGTTGGACTAGATGGCCTTTAAAGGTCCCTTCCAACAGATTCTATGATATGTGCTTTTCCAAGCTGCTTTCTTGTATTCCAGAATCTCCATTTCATTTTTAATAGATATACAGTCTCCAAACAATAACAAAAGAAACAAAAAAAAAAAAGACAAAAGAGAAAAAAAGAGAGAGAGAAAGAATGACCCACGGTGGGGAGACTCAACTTTGACTTTCTCATCATAATTATGAGGAACAGAAGAACAGACTTTCAACCAAATCTAGATAGCATCTTACCCAGCAGGCCATCCACCACTCTGTATCTGCTTCTTCCTCAAAGAAAATTCTCTATCAGACTGAAGAAAACAATAACAAAACTTCCTAAAAACATCTGGTGTGAAAAGCTTTGGTTTCCACAGATCAGGCTTACGTGCTCCAGTCATTCAATTCACACTGAAAACTCTGCAAACTCCCATTAGCTGGATAGAAAAAGCTCATTCCTCTCTTCAAGACTAACAGCTCTTACTGTGCCTGCATAAATGTACAGACTGCCTGTAACTAAAGCTGGCCAGGAAGCCTCAGAACAGTGCTTTCCATTAGAAAACTCTGATTTACCAGAAGGTTAGCTTTTCACAGAAGTTTAGTTTTAAGAAATCTTTTTGTTTAAGACCCTTTCTTTAGGTGGAGGAGGAAAAGAACTTCAAGGTCTCCAGTTCAACCATCAGCCCACCAGTTACGGCTTTCACCTCACCTTGAGATGCAGCTTCAAGCCCACCCTTCCTGACAAGACACACAATCTGCTTCTCTCCCCAGTGGCACTACCTGTTCACTCTGGCCTCTGCTATGAAAAGTTCCTTGCTTGTGTCTTTGGCCTTTTTCCCCAAAATATGTTACATTTTGCTACGGAATGACTAACAACATTGAAAATGTTCACTTGAGAGCATTCTCACTTTTCAGACACCTCTAGCTATACACATAATTATGAAGGTTGTGAAGTACACGTTCACCTTAATGTGTATTAATTCTAATTCATTAAACTCCAGTTACAGGCCAAGCAGAAGAACGTAACGTGTACCTACTGCAGGAATCTGCATCCTCAGCTGAGCTACACATCTGACTGGTCTTATGAAACGCAGGATGACGCATGATACTGTCAATAAACTATGTGATCCTGGAAGTAAAGTCAGTATCCTGATGTACACACACACAGGGAAGGAAAAGTAGCCCGTGCAAGCTTAACATCAGCATTTTCATTACCCGCCTACAGTAATGTCAAGAGTGAACTGCAGACAAAATACTACTCAAGCAAGCAAAGTCAAGCTCTCGCTGATTTTGATGGGAATCTCAAGAGACAGGAAAACCTAGCAAACAGCTTTGCTGTTCTGAATACAAGGTGCTATTGAAAACTGATTCATGCTCACACTAGAAATAACATCTGAAGTTAAAGGTGTCATTTCTAACGTTCAAAAAAGGTCCAGAAGAAGAAGGGAGAGAGGAAGACGATTTTAGGATCAGCTGGCACACTGCGTGTACCCCTGATTATGTGATTATGTGATGCAGTTATGCAGCTTCTCCTCCACCTTGCAGTTGTGTCCAACTCATGTTCTACAAATAAGCCAGTGATGCATGTGGGGGAAGTGATTAAACAGGAGAAAATTATTTTATTGGTCATCTTTCTTACAAGAATCGCTGCATTTAACATTCTTCATTCACTGTGCTCTAAACCCAGAGCTGCTGTAAACTAACATTATTCTATCAAACTCATGCAAGTTTGCAAAGCATCTGAGGATTTGATCTATAGTTAAATCACAGAATCATAAAAAACCAGAAGACTTCAGTGAAGTTTTCCAAGTACAGCACCAAGTACAGCCCTCCGGTATCCCTTGTGCCTATGGCATTGTGTCCTCTTTAAGGAATGCTTCTCTTCTGTCTTTGCAGCAAGATGTATTTGACTGTTTCACTTGAGTTTTGTTATCTGTCTCCTTGGGCCCATTCTCCTGGGCTTCCCTTCAGAGTCACTGTTAGGTGTCGGTGGTGTTCTTGCTTCACTGGCCTTGCTGTTTCTCTACTCTTGCCAGAGACTGGAATAGGGATGTGGAGATCAGGGACAGTGTTTAAGGCTAAGGTCAAGCATGAAGGGGCTTTGGAGTCAGGAAATGGATTTGAGCTATACTGAGGATCAGGAATCAACCAGAAGAGCTGGTAACTATCAGACCAAAACTCTGGGACAGAAACATAGTGAAAAGTTAGGGAGCTGGTGCCAAAAGTATGGATCAGAAAAGCAGGACAAATGTGATTAGATGTGAGGAAATTTATCGTATGACAGTGCTGAGAGAGGCAAGGAGAATTGTCAGAGGCAGAACTGGTGCTGGAGTAGCAAGAGATGGGGAGCAGGCACAGGAGCTAAGGAGGCAGAAACAAGACATAAGATGCAGATAGTGTGACTACCAGCTTATGATAGCTCACTTTACCTTGACGATGCACTAGTTCTAAAGGATAATTTTCAAACTAAGTCCCACTATGCACACTCAGCCTACAGTATGTCCCAATAAGAAGCACTCCGTTTACCTCCCAGGAGAGGTTCCCCTCTCCTCACTGCCTTACTCAGAGGTTGATTCTCAGGTCAACAACTTAAGGCTCTGCCTTGCAGTTTCTGTCCTCCAGATGCCTGCTGTGACCTCCAGATCCAGACCTTGGCTGCCCCAGCCTTACCATATCTGTATACACACTCTGAGGGGGGAGCAGAGGATTAGACTGCTCCCCTCAAAAGGTCCTCACCATCAGTGCTGGGCTCCCAGCGCTCCCACCCTGCTAACCAGGGAAAGAGGCTCTCCAGCTCCTCCTTAGCAGGGTCCAGTTTACTGGGCCCTTTGTCACCATGGCGAGTGACTGGTGCCTTACAGACTGACACTCCAGCATAGAGAGAGGAGGGAGGATGGCAGGACGGAGCGCTGAAAGGGTAAAGGTAACACCCTATCACAGAGTCATACTGGGAAAAATACTGGGATATTTAACTCTTGTCCCTCATTCTCCATCTGATGCTCATCTACTTTGGTTTTGAGTTATTCATGATGGAATCTGTTTTTCTTACATGGCTCTTGCAATTCTCAGCATTATCATAGAATCATAGAATGGTTTGGTGGGAAGGGACCTTAAAGACCACCCAGTTCCAACCCCCCTGCCCTGGGCAGGGACACCTTCCACCAGACCAGGTTGCTCAAAGCCCCATCCAACCTGGCCTTGAACACTTCCAGGGACGGGGCATCCACAACTTCTCTGGGCAACCTGTGCCACTGTCTCACCACCCTCATTGTAAAAAAACTAAGAGTGGTGAGATCATCTGATGATGGAGAAACTGCATCTTTACACAGCTCCTTGCCACCACCATGGCTGCCCCTGGCTCTTTGTGCCTTGCACAATGTGCAGTAGCAATTGTGGTAACACGGTAAGCATATAAAAAGATGAAGCCAAAGAAGTCCCAATCTCTCATTTTTCCAGGTCTATAGGGTGCATTTGCCTACCCCGGCTTCCTCTTTTGTGGGGAGGCATTGTCTAAGAATTCCCTAGTGTGCCTTGGCAGACGTAGCAGAGTCCCACTGAGAGCTATGAGAAGGCTGGAGTATTCATGCAGACTTTTGTGTCAGCTCCACCTTTGTTCTCCTTTCCTACACATTGAGTCATTCAGCAGTGAATGAAAACAGCTGCCCCATTCCCCACAGTCATCCGCCTGATTTCAGCTGATGGGGCAGCTGGGCTCTGGGTTTATAACTCTCAATAAGAGACTTGGACCAACTCCAAACTAAACTTTCTTTGTATATAGTATTACTGAACAAGGTTTCATATCACAGGGATTTACATACAACGTCTGAAGTTTAACTCTGAGTCAATCCAAACATAACTCAAAGAAAAAGTACCCCTACGTTTCATTTTGAATAATGCAGTCTGAATTTAGTTGTCTTTTGATGAACAAAGTGCCTCACTGGATGACAGGGAAAACGTGAATCCTTAAGAAGTCCTCTCTCAATTTCAATTTTCAAGAAATTTGTGTTACATACCTGAAATAGTTCTGTTTTGCAAATGTTTCGAGAGGAAGAATCTGCACACAGAGCTACCCCCTTCAGCCAGAGCTGCGACCTCTGTTCACATCCCAAGTTTTCTTACAAAGACAAGAAACTTCTCCTACATTACTGATATTTTTAATGACACTTACTTGCCCTCAGAGCTATAACTATTTATGCTGCCATCAGTGGATTCCCGACTTGGCTGTCGAACCATACGACTTCTCATCTCTGCTGCCATTCCTGTCTCTGTGCTTCTCTGTATCGTGCTCTTTAGCTTCTTGTTGCCAGCCTCTGAAAGCAGAGAAAAAGAAGCGATAGTTAGAATGATAACTGAGAGCAAAGCCTTTCCTTGCGGTTTTCCCCCAACAACAGTGATCTGACCTGACCATTACTATTTAATAATACAAAAAAGACTATTCTGATCGAAGAAGGAATCTCTCTTCTTCAGTTGCAAAGCGTCAACGGCTTCTCTTTAGAAGGGCTGCAACCTGAAGATCTTCGTTAGGGCTGTTAGAAATTAGGTGTCTTATTAATAACCTTTACACAGTTGGAATGTAGACAGGATGACTGTGATAGTGCCTGCTAACCATATACTCGGTAAGGTGTCTCTAGCCACCCTGTTAGTCACGTTGAGTGACTACAAAAGAAGTTACAACTCTCTCAGATAAAAAGATGGAAGAAATCCTTCATGCATCCTACAGAAAAATGTTAAGTACTAAAATACTTAGTATCAAATATATAATACTGTGTTTTGACTCAGCAAAATCTTACTTTTCACCACAGAAATTCTTCAAAGCAAACAGTGAACTTTACATAACTTCTGATCTCAGCACTTCCTAAGCAGAATTAACTCTTGGAGAATTTTTTGGGGAGATGATGGACTTCACAGTCTAGGCTTGCAACTGAACACCACAGAGTAATGTACATCTTGTGAAATTGTTTAAAGACTTGATCCATTTGGCAAAGCTTCCATCACACATTCTTTAAAATGCCATTTGAGTTCCACCTGGAAGGTTTCATGTTACCCTTGAGCAAGGAGACCTTCCAGTCCTTTACAGGGGTGGTGATGGGCTCAAGGTGCAACGGCCGATCTACAATGAATTCTGGTGTCACATGCCAGAAATTGCACTTCTAGATGACCATAATTGTTCTCAAAGATCCTTAACTGAAATACTTCCACCAAAGTCTCCATGTGATGTAATAGCATGTGTTGACTTCAAACTCACTGTCCGGTTCTTTTTCATTTAGTTCAGCCCGTCATTCAATGGGTAACACAACCTTCTCTCAGGAAATAACAGATCTGACACAGTTTCACCTAAGTGCACGCAAAACCAATCGCCTGCATTTGACCCTTTATTTCAGTGCTCCTTCATGTGCTCTCTGCAAAGTCTGTGCTTCTTTTTCATTGTCTGCTCAGGGGAGCACCTGAAAAAGTAAATGTTTCTTCCACCTCCACCTGCTGCGGAGACTGAATTGCTCTGAAAAACTTGTCACCTTCCTGTTCCACATGGACATCGTTGATGTTTGAAGCCAACAGATCCTGATGTTTCTTCACAAAAAAGTTATGGCTTTGGTAGCCGCTGCACGGCCTACCCAGTGCTCAGGGTGTTCAAACGTGCAGTGGAGAAGAGCCGGCCCTTGTGCTTTGGGTCTGCAGAGCTGGCGGAGGGCAAGGGGAAAAAAAAAAAAAATCACATGACGGAGCAGCTCCCCCCGCCCTGAGGTATCCCAGTAACCTCTTCGGAGCTAGCAGAGAGACAACAAACATGGCCACAGCGAGAAAGAACGGCTTTGTATATTGGGCTTGCAGAAGACATCACCAAGAGGCTGTGGTTTTCCTCCTAAGCCCTCTGGACCAGGGATTGTTTATCTATGGCCACCCAGAAGCACAGAAACAAATGCCCTGAGTGGAAGAAATCAGCTACTTCCACAGAGCCTGTACTCCCTTCTGAGGCCAACAACTCTGAGGTTTTGCTGTGGGCCACTGCAACTCATCCAAATTCCTGGTCCTTAGTCTGCTGAAAACGCATTATTCAGTGCTGCTAAACGTGAGGTAGAGTAGGCTAGACAAGGTACAGCAGGTAGACCAGGCTCCGCTCTCAGGCAGTGCAGGCGGCTGTGGAAGGTGTTTGCTGGAACTTCAATGACTCCGTGTGTAAAAAATCAAACGCTACATTTTGGACCTGAGCTTGATCTTTAAAAATCGATGGCGTGTCCAGCATATCAACGCTGAAATGCAAGCTTAGCATCACAAATGAATCCAAGGGCAGCCTAGGAAGTATAACCCACATGCAGAGCCCTACGCCAAAGCAGGATTCTCACATTTTCAGTACCTACGCATTTGCCACCCATATTGTTTTGTCCGTCTCTCTCTTGCTGGGACGTGTCTGAAAGTGCCTCTCTTTCCACCTGCTCCTACAAAGCGCGTGAGATGATGTGGTTTACCCCCTGCCTTTTCCGGAGCCAGCAAGATCAGGCAGCATGACCAGAAGGGTGGAACATGGTAGAGCCTGAAATGTGGGCAGCTGAATAGGGTTGCTTGTGAGTATTCACGGCTCAGGAAATGGGAGCGATGAGACACTAAAGGTAGCTACAAGATCATCATGACCTTGGCACAAACCGAGAAAAGGACATTGCTCTGGACCACCTGGACAACACGGTGGGTGCTGAAACTTAGGGATTAGAGCCAGGCTGTTGGGAAAGCATAATGAAGAACATATTCATAGAAATAATCACTGTAAAAACCAGCCATTGACTAAATTACAGAAATGAATATTTTAGCTTTGACCCACAGCAGAGAGTGAAAATATCAAGTGGGTTTTTTTTGAAGAGTAATTTTATATTATCATGGATAACATCCATGTTGCTGCTGGAATATACTTCGTTGCTCCACAGATTTTAAATACACAGACCATGAAGCAGGAATCCTCGTGCATGGCCATAAGCAAGTCCACAACCTTGTCTTGCTGTGCTGCAAACACCGGATCGTCTTTTTCCAAATATTTTTCAAGTCACTGCTCTCTGTCTTTATTGTGCTGGATTCTACTTTTTTTGTTCTCGTCAGCTTTTTTTCAGGTTGAAGATTAAAAAAAATAAAATTATTTTGCCTCCTCTCTTGTAACTGCTACAAATATCCACAATGTTTCGTGCGAAAACTAGAGTCTTCCTGCATATTTCATTTTATAATGAAATAGAATTAATATTCTTATTAATATTCTTATTAATATTAATATTCTGCAGTACAATCAGAAGTACAACACAGAAGTAACCCAAGACAGAATGATAAAATACATCAAGAGTTCTATGGCATAAAGAGAATTGCTTTTGCCCGTGACTAAGAACCGAAACACGTTGCCCAGGTTTTGGAAGTTTTAACCTTGGTCAGTTATGCATGTTGTATTTTTTTCATCCAGTTATAGCACAAAAAGTAACGAGAACAGTTGATCTTTTTGGTGCACTCCTGTAAACTTCTCAGCAAACCCCAGCTCTGCAGGGCGGACGGTGGCTGCCGTACAGCTGAGTTGGGCACCGCTGCCACTTCCAAAGGTGCCCCCGTAACGTGAAGTCCCTCTGGGGCACCACCTCCAGTCCCGCCTTGACTGCACAATGGAATACGGGATCCGAACAGCTACTAGTGTTTCTCCTGCTCTTGATAATGTTTTGTTTTTTAAAAAAATTTCATTTTCCTCTTCTATTACTGTTAATCTAGCAGTTCTGGATATATCTTTGGAAGGCTGTCTTTATACGAACAGTACAAGTTCTTAAAATATTTAAGTTCAATATCTATGCTATGATATATTAAATAGATTTTGTACTCTTGCCTGGATATCTATTGGAGAATGCTTGGTCCTGCTCCTGATTTTTATTAGTTTAATATGTACAATTAAATTTTATAATATGTTACAATTATTTGCCTGCACTGTGTAAATTACACTATATTCATCGTGCAGACTGAAGATAAATTGCCTCTATACTGAATACCATTTAGGGGCAAAATTTACTCCAAAATGGTCTGTACGCTTCTATCTGCTCTGTCAATTGTGTAAGGCTTTCTGCGTGCAGAAATGCAGACTAATGTGCATAAATTGCATGTAAACACATAGTTTGACAGGTACAACCTAGAGAAAAACTATTACAGAGCAATTGTGATGAATATTTTTGCAGATTTAATAACTGATGCAAAAGGATCATAAAGCAGCCATCTGCAGCTACAAAACATAGACAGCTTGTAAGCATTTTGCAATTCATCAACAGCCTTGTTGTAGCACTCCTGCTATAACACACTGATGAGTATGTGCAATGTGCTATTTCAGTCTACCTCTTATAAATATAGCCTATAGTGATTCCTTTTTGGTTTGACAAGAAACGGGTCCCTGATTTTGGTTTTCTCAGACAAAAGTTAATTAACAGAGATCCTGATCTAAGTAACGATGAAAAGCAAAAAGCATGATTGTCAGTGTACGCACCATCTTACGTTTGCACAGAGTATCAATGCGATGTGTCCCCAATTTTTGTACTTCCTAATCACCTTGAAGTATAGCAGCCAGGAACAAAACACTATTGACAGCAGAATTATGTTAGCGAGAAAGGGTCAGTGATAGTATCTGCAGAATGAAGATGGCCTACTAGAGATACTTCAAGGCTAGCTTTATCTCTCTAAAGGCGCCCAATTCAGAGAGGACAATGCCAGGACCAGCAGCCCCAAATGACTTGTATCCATGTCTGCACATGGCATCACTATTGGCCTGGCTTTTCTTCTGGGCTCCATGTGATGCCTGGAGGCAATCACTACATTTTGCTCTTGTTTCAGTACAGTAAGTCTGAAGTAACAGGAGGGGCTGTGCCACGACCTGCTGGAGCAAAGCTTTATCCTGTGATGCCAAGGTGGGTATTACATGCCATGGCACAAGGCTAGGGGACATATAAGAATATGCAAGGACACAAGGTTGGTGATTTAGTCAATAGGACAGCGTTGCACACCTTGGTAGGGCAGAGGACGACAATCCTGACATGGTCTTCTATGTACTGCCTATAGGGAGAGGTGCTGTGCGCAAGTATTGCCCAGAATCATACCTGAGGGCAACTAGTTGGTTAGCACCAAAATGAGAAGCAAATTTACACAGATGCAGCACCTGGGTACGTGGCATGGAAAATTGGTGACTGGTTCAAAAGAACGCTCTGGAGAACAAAGCATGCACCCCTGCTAAATCCCCTAATGAAAGGGATAATAAGAAGGGTACTAACACTCAACGTCATTGCATGACTCAGGGCAAATTGTTCACGGTATCAAG